GGCTGACAGGACTCAGGAGCCGAATCGATACGTTTCCTAGTATTTGTGATGTGATCTGAGGGAGATGCCGACCTCCACGTTTAGGCTTGACGCTCTGTCTATCGGTCAATCTATGTGAGGCCTACTTATCTCTCCGCCCAGCCAAAACAACTCGGATCCGACGGGGAAAGGGGTCAAAGGAAATTACAACAGTCAACGTTTAATCTCACGGCCTTGATTGAAGTGCAATTTCATGTACAATGGCCTGTAACCCCGTACGTCGAGGGAAAGAAAATATCCGCAATGAAATCGAGAGAACTGGGTTCTCTTCCTCCTCCTTCCGTTGCTATTCCCCACACAAGCCGGCAAGAGTTCTGTACTTGTCAATCTATACCGATATAGGCTTCCGAACCCTAACTGCAAACCCGCGATGTCTCACCAACTTCTCTCTCGTGGTCGGTTTCCGGTCTCTATCCACCAGCCCAACACGTGAGCCATTGAGTAATGAAGTGGGCCATATGTAGCACGGATTGATTGACAGCCTCGGGTAATTGAATAGCCACCAGTTTGCGCGCCGACCGCAAGAGAAAGCTAATTGAATGACGATCGCATTCGACAAGCATCCCGACCACCGGTTTTGACTCCAGGTACACTGACTAGGAAAGTCTTAGCTCCTCAACGCTCGCACGCAATGGAGCACGGGTTCCTGGCTTGATTTTCTGTGCCTGACTCCAAGAAATCCCCCGTAACCTGTTTGTGCGCTGCAACGGAATTGGTTTCCTCCAGTCTACTGCCGTGTCCAGGTCCATCCGTTCCCTTGGGACAAACTGTGGCTGAGGGATGTGAGGTCCTTTTTCCTTGTCTCCTCTTCCGGGATTCTTTACCTAATTTTCCTCCTCAGTCAGTCCCCTCGATAGCATCTCTTTGTATTCTTGTCTATTCGACTTTTCTTCTTTTCTTCGCGCGGCAATTCAGAAGAGAGACCGGAGGAAAGGGCGGGATGTTGCAAGTGAAACAAGCTTGTCAACCGCGGCCGAACCCAAGTGAGACTTGAGGGTCGCGCGGCTGAGATTATTTTTGGTCTCAACCACTACTTATTCACTTAGGAGTTGTTGTACTGCACGTACTATCCACTTCTCGTCTCGAGAACAGTATGTAGCAATCCATGGTAGGTTAAGCATTTGAGTCATGATTCTATTATTGAAGATCATGGATGATCTTCAGTTTCTCTGGACTGGTATCGATATAGTACTTCATAGGGTACTGCTAACCTCTTGCTAGCTCTAAAGAGAGGGACAGACTACCATGGTGGTGGCTACCTAGTACCTATCCCAAGTAGTGACCGGCTACCGGCTCGATCGAGAGTGGTTATGTTTCTTCTCTGTGGGTAGACTACTTTCGTGGTAGTCTTACTCTGCCACCACTCTCTATCCTCACTGTGGCTAATGCAACTAGGTAGTACCTAGTGAGAAGTGAAGACTGCACCGATCATGCTTGAATTGGAGGTATGAACTCAGACGGTTGAGTAGATCGGCAAGAGCATTGAGAGTCAGTTCCTTCCTATCGAACGAACCGGTGGTATCGCTTCCGCTCAGTAAGCTCAAAGCTACCCAACCCTCTCACAACACGCGCGCATATCCTGCGTGGGCCGTTGTCTCATCGCTATCTTCAAAGAGGAGCTTTACCCCTGAGATGCTGCGTTCTGCGTACTGGTTGGCAAAGTAGGTTGAGCCATGCTCAACTTGCCATTAAAGCTTCTGCGATGATCTAGCTCATAGTCAAGTGAAGTTCAGCGACAGCACATCCCTGGAGGGCGAGGGAATACCTTCAGCTCTCCGCCGCTGTATAGAATCGAGAACCCAGACAACCACGGGGAAAGGCTTGCTGCCCCCCTCCCTCTTTTCTCTGCTCCTAGACTGCTGTTGACCCTGATCTTCCCTTCCCGTGCGCCATCGGTTGCCTGCAGGAGGAGTTTCTTTATCTCACTTGTCACTGCCTTGTGCGTCGCACAGATCCCGGATCAACACGAGCTGCCTAGGATCAGCCACTGAGTAACGGTGATTCTTGGCTTTGTACTGACTGTACTTCTGTACTTTCCTCCCTCCCAACTCCCGGTGGACTGATCCTGGATCCTAGCAATCCCCGGCCGCAGCCTGTATTGGCATTTTGATCCAGGGGGTGTATGTGCGCCTGTGTACAAGGATGAAAGGGACATCACGTCACTGTCCTTTGTTCTGATCAAGATCCTGATCCAATTGTGATTGGAGTAGCGGAGCGAACAAGACAATCTAGCTCCATTGCATGCCATCAGTGGTTGGAATGCGCTTCTCAGCTCTCTACTCTTGTCCCTCCTTTGCCTGTCTCACACAACTCCATACCCAGTATCGACCAGAACGATCATCCAATTGTGCCCTGGTTGGCGACATCATCGTCAAGACCCCGCCATGTATAGGCCAGCTCACTGGTGGACTACCTAGTGTGAATCACATTTTTCACTTACTGGTTCAAGGTCTCTGTCTGGTGCCAATATGTCTCAGTTTTGAGAGGACTATCGGACAAAGACCGTCCAAGACTAGCTGTTCTGAACTCTGAGTTAAGACACCCCTACCCTTCATGTCTACTCAGGGGGAAGGAAGAATTGGGTTGAGTCTCCTGCGCCTTGGGGTCTCTCTAAGGAGTGGAAAGATGAGAGATAGAGACAATTGGCGTGGAACCAGTTGCATAAGGGATATCTCCAGGCCATCCGACCGAGGCAACGGTAGTCGGCGACTGCCAGTCCTTGAGTCGGCGACTGACTATCCCAAGCCACTACCCTACAGGCGACTGCTAGCCCACACAGAGAGGGGTATTTATCTCATTGGTGCAATGGGCAGTGCACAACAAAAGCGATGTCACAGGTGGAGTATTAGAGCCATGTTCGAGCGTAACCAAGCCTACAAGATGATGCTCCGGCACGGGTGCTTGCGATAAGAGCATGCCTTGATCTCACAGGGGTTTCTGATTATAAAGGGCAACCTTATGTCGAAGCCGTGATCTGTGACTACATACACATTCTCGCCGTCACAATCAACTATTCCGCCATATCAGGCCATGTTCCAGATCAGGTGGGATAAACGAGAGCCCAACAGTTTGCATACCTTTGCATCAAGGTATCTACAGTACCATCAAGCTTGAACCCAAGCCCATATAGGATACAGCAGCCTCGTTTGGAAACAAAACGAAGCAAAGCAGCCAAGAGAAACCAACCCGACGATATTCCCAGTTTGTAGCATAAGGTACTGCGCAGTCGAACTAAGTCTAACTTAGTGTCCTTTAGTCATAGTAATCTGGAGTTGACTAACTATTACCTACACGAAGTATACGACAAGTTGACTGCTCGCCAAATCCACCAGTCATTATTATTCAACCTGCTTACATAGGTACTGTACTTGCTGAACCATAAAACAAAGTCTTAACTCACATATCACCAGAGAGAAATAAAAAAGCCCTATAGTCAATACTCAAGAACTAAGAAAGAAACAGACAACCAAGACGAGAAAAAGTGCCTACTATAGACTTGTTAGACAAAAAAGTTATATATAGTATCAGATATGGGTCCCTCCCCCATCCTTTTTTTTTTCTTCCGATATCAATTCGCTACCGGCCAAACCGTTTCCCCGCCACCCACACAATACGAGAGCTTTGCCCCCTCTCCCCTCCCCCAAATTCCGAGCTTAGGGGAGAACACCAAAGGGTTCCTAAGGTGAAGTGTACGGTGTATGCTTTGGGGGATTAGCCTGTTTGGGGAAATCGTGGTGTTTGCCAGGTGTGGTGCTCGTTTACCCCGTATACACGATTAAGTCTTTGGGGTTGTTGTGGGATTGTTGAATTGGAGGGAAGTGGATTGGGGAGTTCGGAAACCTCTTACCACAGTAGGTAGTCGGCGGTCAGTTAGTGTCGTGGGAGGGCTCATTATGGAATGGATGGTTGGTGCCTTGCCCTGCCTTGCCCTGCCTTGCCTTGCCTGCCGGTGGTGGACTTGCGCGCGGGCCGTGGAGGACCTACCGGTAAATTAAGCGACGGATGGGCGAGACTAAATTCACCCAAGCTTGTTTCTTGGAGGTTCAAGGTTGGGGACCTCGTTAGTTGTCTTTGGGATGGCTGCTGGTTTTCCACAGAGAGAGAGAGAGAAAGTGTGTGTGTGTGTGTGTGTGTGTGTGAAGACACATGACATGACATATTGTCGGTCAGCTGATCTGTCACGTTGTTCCTGCCATCCTACATGATGCTGTGGCTGCATTGTAGATACAGACTCGGAACCCATCCAAGTCCCGTAGGATACGTCCAATGATGTCTCACTTGCAGCTTTCTACACCCAAATGAAGCCCTGAACCCTGAAACAAACAGCCTGTCAGGCTGGGTTCATCATTATTTGCAACTGGTTTTGGCTAAATGACATGGGGGTAGGCAGGCATTAATAAAAGTAACGTGCGTCAACAGTGCAACAAAGGGAGAGAAAAAAAAAAAAAAAAAGGGAACCACCACCCCCCCCCCCCCCCTAACTAATCAACAACCTTCCTATCATCCCAAAGTCCCCCCTTCCCCCTCAACGTCACGCTGTGCTGGCCAAAGCGTATCCTGCGTCCGGGCCGATTGTCCATAACCAACCAAGCTGGAGCCCAATGCAGGTCCTTTGCACTGGCCGGAAGTGCCAGAAACATGGCCAGTCAGCGTCACACTTGGGCCGTTTCCTTCTGAGATCGACACCCTGTTGGCTGTGTGGACTAAACTGGAGAAAAGACTGACTGGGATATTTTTTACGGGTCTTAGCCAGAAATAGGATCGCTGATAACACCACACGCCAGTCCAGCATAGCGTCACCGGTTTTGGTAGCCATGTCTCACTCAACTCGCCACGGTGCTGCAAGCTGGTGGGACTGAGGCAAAAGACTTTTTCATTTCGATGCTATCTATCCGAAGATTCTTGTTCGAAGGCAGGGTCCTGCAACCAAGGGGGAGAACTTGAAGGGGACTGGCTGCTAGTCAGAAGATAGTGGCACTCTGCTCGACGGACCGGTTGTTATAGCAGAGAGGAAACAACCGGCCCCAGAATCGATACGCTCCCCGATTCACCTCTTTCACTGAGACCAACCATCGAGCGAAGCTGTTCTCCGTCCGGCTGGGATTGGTGCTCCGTAGATGAGCGACCTAAACCCCCGTGTCAGAGGGGTGTGGCACTGGGCCAGTCGGGGGACAGCAGCACACCCCCGCATGGGTCAGGTCAGACTTACTACATGGTATCTCTGTAGAGCATGCCAGTACCGCATCGGCAGCCCAAACCTCTTCGTGACCGTCTCCTTGATCCTCGCTAGGGCCTTCAAGTACAATGTGGAGAGGGTTTCACGGGGCAGGTAGATGTGGTCGCCAACGGCAACCCTGCCGGGAAACTTCCAGCCGTGGCGCTCATATATAACCTCGATGAGTCGCGTCAATGTGTCTGCCTGCCAGGTTGCCAAGAGCTCGCGGTTGAATGCTTTCACGTGCAGCTCCAGGTTCATCAGATCGTGTCGGAGTCGATGAGTGTTCGTTCGTAGCTTGCCGATCTTATTGATCAGCATCTCATTGGTCGTTTCCAGGGTATGCAGAGTCGCAGAGTATCTCTGAAGGTAGAAGAACGGTCAGTTTCATGTTTAACCTCTCAATTCCAACTGAGCTGACGAACCCTCAGTGACACGTTGGCGGAATTGCTGTCAGGTTGTGTTAAGCCTGGGGACTGGAGGTGAGACCGGTAGAAGGACATGCCAGGCCCGTATCGCCGGACAAGCTCGGCGTTCATTGTGACACTTCAGTCACAGAATGTTGGAAGAGCTAGAGACTAGAGAATCAAAGAGTGGCTTTTTGGTATGAAAGATAAAGCCGCGGTGCTAAGTAACGAATGCACTGTATGTACGGCTGTTGTGAAGGACCAGGGGCCGGTTAACACGCTGTTGACTATTGACTGTGCAACAGCGCAGCAACAGCGTTTTAACACAGGGAAAGGGCGACCTGTCTGTTTGCCAGACATTACGGTGCGGCCCTGGAAGAAGTGACCCACGAATTGCGCGCACAGTCAACCATTGCTACATAACTATCTCTGTTGAGTTATGTTCCTTGCAGTCTAGAGTATATCACTGATAGTTGGCGCTCAACGTAGCAGCTCATAGTTTGCTTCCCGACGCCTTGCCGAATTCGAAGACCAGCTTGCCGAATTGTTTGCCCTCCTTCATGTCCTGGAAAAGATCATCCAGTGCCGGAATGTCGCCCAGATCGCTTTGAACCACACGCGACACAACCGGATGGATCTTTTGACTTCTCACAAACTCGACCATCTCCTTGAACTCTTTGCGCGAGCCCATCGTAGACCCACGCACCTCAATATTCTTCAGCACCGCTTGCATCAAGAATGGCATTTTGGGAGCGACCGTCATCCCATAGACCGAGAGGATGCCGCCAGCCTGGATAAATCAGTATTCTCTTCGAGCAGACAACAACAGGGCGCAGCCAAACCTTGAGTAGCTTGACAGCCTTCTCGACTGCATCGCCTCCAGCGCCGTCGATGACCGCATCGAAAGACGGCTTTCCGGGGGGAAGCTGACCCAGCAGCTTTTTCTCCCATCCTTCCTCCTTATAATTCACCCCACCCTTGGCTCCCAGCTCAACCGCTTTCTTGATCTTCTCCTCGCTTGAGCTGGTCACATACACGTCGACTCCTCGGGCTACCGCGAATCGCAGAACCATGAGAGCCACCCCACCTCCGATCCCCGTGACCAGAATGGCAGCCCCCTTGCCCGAGTTCCTCTCGCCAGCCTTGACCACCAACGCCCGCCACCCGGTCAACCCCGTCAAAGGAAGTGCCGCGGCCTCCGCATCCGAAAGGTGTTCCGGCGCCTCCTCAACCTCGGACTCCTCGATGGCCACATACTCCTGAAGCGTCCCCTTGTTGTATAATTTCGTTCCGCCCATGATCCGATACCCCTTGGGATCTTCCGGGCCATCAGGCGACCTGTCCCAGCCCACTCCGGGATTCAGGATCACCCGTTTCCCCTGCCAGCGCTGCGGGTCAGTGACATCGGGACCCGCCCCGACCACCGTACCCACTCCGTCTGCACCGAGGGGGACATCGAACGTGACTCCCGGGTACAGATGCTGGCGTAGGAAGACATCGCGGTGGTTGAGCGAGGCCGCGGTCAGCCTGATGAGTAGCTCGCGGCCCTGTGGGGTAGGGAGGACCTGGGTCTGCACGGAAAGGGGATAGTAGACCTGGCCCGGTTTGCCTTCTGCTTTGGTCAGGAAAACGGCCTTGGACATTTTGACGTAGTTGAAGCCTCTCGTAGTTGTATGTTCTAAGATAGTGGTGGGATTGGCGTTAGGGGGAGTTTAGCGATGCGGGGGGGTAAGAAGATGAAAGGGCGGACCCAGCTTGGGTTATTTATCAGTGCGGGGGGAGCTTGGGATTTGTTATCAAGTGCCGAGGATCTCCTGATGTCCGATCGTCGCTGAGCTGGAAGTATACGTATACTCTAACTGAGCAAAGGTTGGTGTATTATAGAATCATCGACTGTTATCATACTCCGATATAAGAGCATCTCTTCGAGGACCAGGTAGCAGATATAGCATATCGAGAGATAATCTGCCATTCAACGTTCAATCCCATAGCAAGTCGTGTAGCTCCCCTGCAATTGGAACCGAGGACAGATTATTATATCAACCTCAAGACCAGAGGGAAAGACGTGTTCGCTTGTTCCATCGATTTACAGTCAGAGTCTAATACAAGTAATTTATCTCTCACATTGCATCTCTGCCATTGCTTTATCTATCCTGCTAGGAGTACGATGCTGCTGGCGACACAACCACTATGCCCTCGCTGCCTCAGGCTGATATAAATTATGGGCTGTGTAATACGATTACCAACGCTGGTAACTACCGGTATGGTATCTGGAGCGGAGGCAAACATTCCACACAAGAAGCACCAACGGGAACTTACATTTCGCAGTTGCAGTCCGGAGAGAATAATTGATCACCTCGACGACACGACACATTCGAAACGGGGTATTTCTGTTTCTGTTTGCTGGAGCTTTTGGTGGGCGGTGGAAGCAATCAACTCATGCGGATTGTGGGAGCTTTGGCGGTTCGTTGTGGGAGGAGGGATATGAAGTGAAGTAGATCTATGCATACACCTTGATATATCATTTACACAGGGAGCAAAAGCATTGGGATGTCAAAAATCTTGGGAAGAATGTTTTACAAACCGAGCTCCCGGTCTATGCACTGCTCGGAACTAGACCATCAATGCGAAGCAATGGGATAGATAGATCGGCTGTGACGTGTCGATTTCGACTTACTTCAATGCGATCGAACCTCTCCGGCGGTTGTTAATGTTCCGGCGAAGTACTGTATACCGTAGATGTGATCGAGAGATGATCTGCTCGAGGCACTGGGTACCAGGTACCTAGTAAGATAGTGACTTGCCCGAACTCAGTCAACCGAGATCCAATCAAGCGTACAGTTGTCACGAGATATATACCACCGTCTTGCAAGCTCCTCCTACTCATGTACATGCACACATACTCGAGAGAATGGATCTAATGAATAGATCGCCGATCAAGACCCAGCAACGCCAAACAATCCCAACAACAACAACCGAACTGACAAGCCACCGATCAAGTGTATAAAACTCCAGCCATGAGCACAACCCGGAGCTCACGTCGACCTCCCACTCGAAAACCTCCTATTTGAGTTTACATTGTAAATCAAGTATATCTGCGCAAACTGATATATAGGACAGAGCATATTACTAACTTCCCAGCCAAGCAAGCAAGCAAGCAAGTATACTTCCCACCCGGCTCGGTGGGAAAAGCCCAGAGATTACTTAAACCGGGCAAGTGACCAAACCTTAAGGGCGATAGCATTTCCGCCGTGGCCGGCCGAGCTTTTTGTCTGTGGATAATTTTTTGATGAGAAATTTGGGGACTGATTGAGTCCGCGGTGGCTGAGGCTGGACTGGACTCGGAGCCCTGCTGCTTGTGCTAGTGCTATTTGCGTTTCTGCATGAAGCAAACGAGGCTGCTTTGGCTCAAATTTCAGGAGTTCGAGATAGCTACATAGGTACCTACAGTATAGTTATGCATACCGGTAGACTATTCCTTGCGGAGAGCTACACTTCTATTCCGCCAGCCTATTATTGATATAATCTTTCTTTTTTTGGGGGTTCATTAGTGGGAACGAAAGTACAGTACGCAAGTTGTCCCCCCCCCCCAAAAAGAAGAAAGCGACACGTCGAGGGAAGCCGAAGCGTTTGCGGCTGGTGTGCGGGCCAGTCAACGTCAGGGCGTGGCCAGAAGGGAGATGGAGTTGGCTGGGGAAGAGGTCGGGCCACGCACCCGGTTCTGGAGAGGTCGAGAGGTCGAGAGGTCAACTCCAGCAGGTACTGCAGGTACTGCAGGTGTAAACAGTAGTAGTCTTTAATTCTTCGATTTTCGATACGCGTGGAATCAATAGTGTACCTAGTAAGCATAGATTGGTGCTTGCGTGTGTTGTGCATGGCCACCACAGTGGTCTGCTGGCTAGTGTAGTGTGTAATAATGAGTGAATGAATGGATTGACATCAATTATCCAGGCAAGGTTACCCTTACTGATGAGGTAATGTACTTTCCAGCCAGCTGGGTGGCTGGTATGGGGAAACAGGCGAAAAAGCGACGAAAACACGAAAACAGACCCGTCGTATTGCCACACCCGACCGCTCATTCGCCGCTCGGCCCTGGCGCTCATTTTTCTCACTCTTGCACTTCCCAAACTTGCCCAGGAACTGATCCTTTCGATCTTCTGATCTCGAACTCGAACTCGAACTTCGTTCATCCCGTCTGCTGCTCCGAACCTGCAAATCCTCCCACAACCTTTTAGCTCTACACAATTCTGTCGCCGTCTCGATCAACTTGGGCCTGGTATGTCTCTCTCCTGCTTTCCCTCCACCATCGACCCTCGTTTGCCTCCCTCCACCATTCATTTCCCCCCCGTCCTCGTCCCTCGGGTTCGTTGGCTGATCGATTCTCTCTTCTCTCCACACACCAAACAGCTTTGCGTCCTTGTATTCCCCCAAACACACTCCTCCAAAAATTTTTCGAAACGAACGCGTTCGCCGCACCACTGACCGTCGACCTTTCCCTCGATTTGTCTTTCATCTGATCTGCTGGACTCGGCCTTGTCTTTCCCGTCTCAACGAGCTATCCTTTCTTCCATAATGCCTACGCCACTTCCCTCTAGTTTTGCCTCAGCCGCCGCGGGCAACATCCACGACTCTCCCAACCGCAGAGGAGATGGAGCTCCCGGTGGAGAATGGTATGCTTCCGTCCCTTGCCCAGCCCAACACCGTGTCGCGCGTTGTCTCCTCGTTTGCCAGCCCCCCCACCCAATCCAATCCGGCCGGGGATCTCCTAGTTTTGTGGTGGAACCAGAAAAACTGACAACTCGATCCTCCTCCGCTGGGGATGCACAGGTCTCGCACTCGCATGAACGGAGCAACACAGACCTTCCGCCGCCCCTCAGTCGCGACGAACCCGTCGCATAACCGGGATACGAGTCAACCGACCTCGACCACCACTCCCACCGTCGGCACCTACACCCCCCCGCATATGTCCTCGAACTACCAGTCCAGCGCACTCCGGAACGGTGCCACCACGGAAACCCGTTATTCCAAGGACTTGCTGCTAAATCTCTATAAGAACCAACGGGACACCGGCTCGCTGGGGAAGAATGTCGCAGAATACTTCGTTGCCGACTGGAATCCCCACTCCTCCGAGACCTCCCCCGTCAATGGGGCATGGGGCAAGCGCGAAGATTCCAAGGACAATCCGTCCGGTCCGGAGGTCTGCTGGGATCATGGGGGCCATGTAGAGCCGCTGGGTCTTGTGGAACCGACGGACGATGAGAAAGAGGTGTGTCTTTCTTACGTGTTACACCCCGCCCTTGTGTCGGGGCATCTTTGCTAAAATTCTCAGTTGTTTACTTCTTCCGTCAACTCTCCGCTCAAGCCGCCACCCACGAACGCCTCGAAAGAGAACACCGCTACCGGCGCGGGCGGTCGCAAGCTGTCCATTTCTCAGGGTCATATGAACAACTACAACACCTCCTCCCCCAGCGCTGGACGTCCAGGTCCTCGGCGTCGGGAGACGGCCGATTCGCCCGCGAATCCAATGTCTCCTACCACCAGTGGCTCTCGCTTCTTCCGTGACGAACCGACCACGTCCACCCCGCCACCCTCTCTGCTGCGCCGCAAGACCGACTTCCGCGACACTTCCTCTTCCACTGCTCGGTGGGAGGAAAAGGAAAAGGAGAATCTGGGTAAGGAGCCTGGTGCAGATGTCGCTTCTCCGTTTGGCTCGCTGAAGCGGAGCTCCACCAATCCGTTGAACGTGGCGCCAGGTGGGCCAAGCTCGCCTTGGGCGGCCGCCTCGCAAAATGCCAATAATTCCCCGATGGGTACGTTCGGAGCCTTTTCTCTGGGAACGGGAACGAGCACCACCCCCACGACGGAGAAGAAGGCTGGGTTCGGCAGTCTCCGTGGAGAAAGTCGCCTAAAGGGACTCTTCTCCAAGGATAGCTCCGAGGACATGGCGGCCGCGGCTCTCAAGGAGAAATCGTCTCTTAGCAGCCTGGAGCGCTTTGCTGATGTGGAGGGTGATAAGCGCGCGCAGTCCCCCTGGGGCGAGCCTGTCAAGACCCGCACTGGTCGCAGTGAGACGAACCCATTCCAGGAGGAGCTTCGCAGTGGCAGCGCGGCGCTTGGGGGCTCTCAGGAAATCAATCCCCAGCCCCAGCCCCCCTCCGACCATCTGGGCTTTGCGGCGTTTGGCATGACCTCGAGCATCCCCGGATTCCGGGAACTAATGCAGAGCCACGAAAATTCCCGGAACCCTACCCCGAGTCTTCTGCAAGGACACGAGCCTACCAGCCCGACCAATACGAACCCCTACCAGAGTCCCCACGGCGACCGACACGAGGTGGATGATGTCGAAACCGACGGATCCGATATTCAAAACACCACCCACCCCGGTATCACTGGCCTGCGGGATACCTCCTCCGCTTTCGGCTCCATCCGACGTGTCGGCTCGGGCATGGACTTGCCGTCCATTGACCGCAGCCAAACCTCGAGTGCAGCTGGAAACCGCAGCTTTTCAAGCTTGGGCGGCCTAGGTGGCCTTCCCCCCATTGGCGGCGCTGCTGGATGGCCTACGAGCGCTGCCGTTGGCACCCCCACGCGCGAACGCTCGGCGTTTGCGGGCGGCTTCGGTGACCCGATCTTCGGGACCATGGGCGACCTGCAGTCTCCAAGCTTGTCGACGCTGGGAGGAAGCGGCCTGTTCAGCCCCCATGCTGGGATCACTGGAACGGGCAGCCTTGGTCGCTCGAGCAAACTAGGCTCGCTCTTCCCCCCTGCTATGCAAGAGCAGATGCAGGGTGACCAGATCCGGCCCGATCTCGGGGCTTTGGACGAGGTTGCCCGGCAATCTGGGGAGATCTTCGACGGACTTTTGGCGGATCAGGGCCCACTGACGCACGGAGCAGAACTACAGCCTATCGATAAGACTGTGCAGGGCGGCCAGCCAGTCACCACTTCGACCTCTCAGACTCCTGTGTCTGCCGTCGGCTCTGGTCCTGGCTCCATGGTTCCCGATGCGCCGCAACCCAGCCAGACCCCCGGAAATTCTGGGTCTGTTCCCCCAGCCCAGCAACGGACCATGGTGATGCCTGACCGCATGCGCTGGATCTACCGTGACCCGCAGGGTAACATCCAAGGCCCATGGACAGGACTGGAGATGCATGACTGGTTCAAGGCCGGATTCTTCAGCCCCGATCTGCAGATCAAGAAGCTCGAGGACCCCGAATTCGAGCCGTTAGCCCAGCTGGTTCGTCGCATCGGCAACTCTCGCGAACCGTTCTTGGTGCCTCAAATCGGCATTCCTCACGGCCCTGACCCTGCCCCCGGACCCTGGACTGGCAACACGAGTGGCACGGCTCAGCCTCCCTTCCCTGGCAGCTTCCCCAGCTTTGGCACCACCCTGACCGCCGAGCAGCAGAACGCTTTGGAACGTCGCAAGCAGGAGGAGCAGTACCTGATGGCCCGTCAGAAAGAACACCTGGCTCAGCAGCAGGCTCTGATGAAGCAGATGCAATTCCAGGGCGTTCCCCACTCCATCCACCCGCATCAGCTTCAGCACCATTCCAGTGCTCATAGCCTCCACAGCCAGCCTAGCTTTGGTAGCATCGCTTCTCCGGTTGGCTTCCAGCCCTCCCCGATCCAGGCGCCGATGCAGCAGCAGCAGCAGCAGCAGCAGCAGTCCCAGCAGTCCCAGCAGCAACCTCCGTCCGTTGCCGGCTTCTTTGACGCGGCTGCCGCCATGCGAGGCAACCCTCTGCCCCCCGTGGGTCCTCAGATGCTAGGCACGGATCTGGGTCAGGATCAACTTCCTACTCTTCTGGACCGCTTGAACATCAATCGGCCGGATCCGTTTGCCTTTGGTACCCCCGGCTCTTTCGCTGCTCGCCAACCGGACAGCCTGTTCCACCAGCAGCAGGTAGCTTCGATGCTCCAAGATCGGGCCCGTCTGCAGCAGGAGCAGGAGCAGTTCGATAGTACCCAGGGTGATACTCTCTTCGACCAACAGGCACGAGAGGAGCGCCTTCGTCAGTTCCATGCCTTGAGGGTACAGGAAGCCGAACTCGGTATGCAGACTGTCGAGGGTCTTCCCACGCACCCGGCCGAGTCCGTCCAATCTCAGATTCCCGAGGAGACTACAGAGTTCGATACCGTTGAAGCCGCCCCCCAGGAGCCCCCTCTCACTCTGTCGCAGCAAGTCCAGAAGGCTGCTACCGCTCAACGCCAGCAGCTGGAGCAGCAGGAGCAGCAGGAACAGCAGCAACGCGAGCAGCAGCAACTGGAGCAGCCGCAGGCGGGCTCCGTCACTGAGGCCGCTTGGATGAGCACGGGCGATAGCGCCATGCCCCAGCCCTTCCCTCCCCCGCCTTCTGCCTCGCCTCTGCCGGCTCCTGCAGCTCAGCGCAACCGCCAGAACGTGGCCGAATCTCTGGCTGCCAACTCTCGCTCTCAGACGCAGACCCCGGTCGAGGCGCCCACCACCTCCATTGCGCCGTGGGCCAAGGAAGCCAACGAGGTCCCCAAGGGTCCTTCTCTGAAGGAGATCCAGGAGGCTGAAGCTCGAAACGCCGCTCAGAAGGAGGAGATCGCCGCCGCCGCCCGTCGTGCTCAGATGCTTGCGGAGCAGGAGCGCCTCAGCCAGGCGGCTCAGGTGCAAGCGCCTGGCCTGCCGTCGACTGCCAACTGGGCGAGCGCCGGATCTCCGTCCACCCCGACTTCCTCGGGTTCCGTCTGGAGCAACAAGGGCCCCACCGCTCCATTGGCTGCTGCCAAGAAGACTTTGGCTCAGATCCAGAAGGAAGAAGAGGCTCGTAAGCAGCGTCTTGCCACTGCGGCCGCTGCGGCGCAGAGTGCTGCTGCCAGCCCCCCTACTGCTCCTGCGTCTACTGGTAAGCGTTACGCCGATCTGGCCAGCAAGGCTCCCGCGCCGTCTCCTGTGAACACGGCTGCCTCGGGCGCATGGACCACTGTCGGTGCCGGCGGCAAGGCCAAGGCTCCTCCTGCTGCTCCCTCGGGACCGCGCGCGACCACCGGCGTTGTGCCTGTGGCCGTCTCGCCGGTGAAGCCGAAGCCCGCCACGGTTGCCACTCCTCGCACTGTCTCGGTGGGCCCTACCCCGGCCACCAACCCTAACCGAGCGGTTGAAGAGTTCACCAAGTGGGCCAAGTTGGCGCTGGGCAAGGGCTTGAACAGCAACATCAATGGTAAGTTTTCCCGGACGGGCGTGTGTAGAGCTCGAGCTAATTGCATCGATGTAGTGGACGACTTTGTTCAGCAGCTGCTGTTCCTGCCGGCGGAGGCGGAGATCATCTCGGATTCGGTGTATGCCAACTCGCAGACTCTGGATGGCCGGCGGTTCGCGGAGGAATTTATCCGGCGGCGCAAGCTGGCGGACAAGGGGATCGTGGACCCGGTGGCGGCGAGTGCGTTTGCGGAGCAGAAGAACGCGGGCGGGTGGAGCGAGGTGGCCAAGAAGGGGTCGTCGAATGCGCACCGGGAGGAGGATGCCAGCAATGCGGCGTTCAAGGTGGTTGCTCCGCGGAAGAAGGGCAAGCGGTAGGTTCGTATGGATGGTGTATCTTATCAGGATCTATCCCGCATAGATAGATAGTATGTAGATCGATCGGAAACCTATCAACTGCGAGTGTCTACGCCGTATTTATCTATCATGTGACCGGATCGGATCCGCCCACGCCCTTCGATAACATGTGCCCCTCTCTGCGTCATGGATGATGCTTGGTAGTCCGGTAGTATATATAAATACACGCCTTCAAGTACTTGCGTGGAACAGTACACTTCTTCCTCGTACCTCCCCGCGCACCACCACCCACCAGCCAAACCTTTGGGGAAGAATGGCTCCCACACCCTTCGGCGCCCCGATGCGCCAACACTTCCTCCTCGACCCGAGCTATCGCAATCTGAACCACGGTCAAATCCCCCCCGTCAATCATCATCACCACCACCACCACCACCACCACTAACACACAAACTCCAGGCTCCTTCGGCACCTATCCCTCCCCCCTCCTCGCAACCCAACGCAGCCTCCAACGCCTCGCCGAATCCTCCCCCGACGAATTCCTACGCTACACGCAACCCACCGCCCTGCTCACCGCGCGCCACGCTGTGGCCGGTCTCCTCAACTGTCCCCCGCAGGACGTCGTAACCGTCAAAAACGCAACCACGGGGGTAGCGACCGTGCTCCACAACCTCGCCCCCCATTTCGAGGCCGGCGATGTCTTACTGTACTTCTCCACGATCTACGGCGCCGTCGAGAACGGGCTGTTCTCGCTGGTCGAGCACCTCCCGGGGACGCACCTGCGGCTGCGGAAGATCGAGTATGCGTTTCCGATCGCCCCGAACGAGCTGGTGCAGCGGTTCCGGGACACGATCCGGGCGGTGAGGACGGAGGGAGGCACGCCGCGGATCGCGGTGCTGGAGACGGTCGTCAGCCTTCCCGGGGTGCGGTTTCCTTTCGAACACATTGTGAAGGTGTGTCGGGAGGAGGGGGTGTGGAGTCTGGTGGATGCGGCGCATGGGGTGGGGATGATTCCTTTGGATCTGGGGGTGCCGTTTCCGGGTGAGGGTGAGGGTGCGGATGAGGGCGAGGGCGAGGGCGAGGGGGCATGGATGGGCAAGGTCGGGGGCGTGGACTTTCTCACGAGTAATCTGCACAAGTACGTCCTTGCCTTCCCTCCAGATTCCCCGGGGGGTGTGCAGTGGGGAGGAGCTGCGCACTCCCGGGGCAGGCAGAGCTGCGCTCCCCCCAACAATCCTTACACCGAGGCAAGGAGAGGGGAGGAGAGGAGAGGAGAAGTATGCTAACATCCGGAACGGAAAAAAAGGTGGCTCTACACCCCCCGCAGCGCGGCGATCCTCTACGTCACCCCCGCCCTGCAACCCCTCATGCGCACCACCCTCCCCACCTCCTGGGGCTACATCCCCGCGCCATCCGAGACGACCCCCAGACCCTCGCTGATGGCAACGCCCGGCGCGAACAAGACGGCGTTCGAGGCGCTGTTCGAGTTCGTCGCCACCGCCGACGATACGCCGTACCTCTGTGCGCCGGCCGCGGTGCAGTTCAGGGAGGAGGTGTGCGGCGGCGAGCGCGCGATCTACGCCTACCTCGAGGAGCTGGCGAACGAGGGCGCGGATCTGGTGGCGAGCGGACTGGGGACGGAGGTGTTGGGGGATACACCCCGGAAAAGGAGTGCGTGGAGGCGCTGTGCCATGAATAATGTGCGGTTGCCGGTGAGGGTTTTGCATGGCCCTCAGGGAGGGGAAGGGGGGGTGGCACCCGGGCTGCGAGCGGAGCTGGTCCCCGCGGTGGTGGATTGGATGCAGAGGAGGCTGGTCCAGGAGTACCGCACGTTCGTGCCTGTCTTTGCCCATGCGGGGTGGCTGTGGGTGCGCTTGTCGGCGCAGGTCTACCTCGACCGCAGCGATTTCGAGTGGTTGGTGCCCGTGTTGAAGGAGTTGGTCGGTCGTGTCACGGAGGAGTTTAAGCTTGGGAAGGTGTCGCCGCACCTGTAGCGGCAGATGCAACAGATACCACAAACTACAGAGACTAAGCTCATACGCTAGACACCAACAAATTCTGCAATGATATACAACTACGCGAATATATGCAGGCCGTAGGAACAGCATCACAGCAAACACAATCAAGTACCAGCGGAAACACGCAATAACTAAACCCCACTCACGTCTCAATCAGATCCGCAGTCTCGCCCTGGGTCTGCTCCGCCACACTGTTGTCTCGCGTGTCCTTGTTGGCGATCTTCCGCGCAGACCGCGCATAGAACTCATCCAGCACGCGCTTGGGGATCCGGTTGAGCAGGTCCTTGGGGTAGATCCGCAGCAGGTTCCACGCGATGTCCAGCGACTCGAAGATCGTGCGCGACTCGTAGGGCGACTGGCTGATGAAGGTCCGCTCGAACTTGTCGAGGAACTCCAGCGACAGCTTGTCCTCGGAGGAGAGCGCCTCCTCACCGACGACAGCCTTCATGGCGGCTAGACAGGGAGACTTAGTCATGGACACACCTCAACACAGCACAGAGACTTACCAGCATCACGACCGATGGCGTACTTGGCGTACAACTGGTTGGACACATCCGAGTGATCCTTCCGGGAACGACCCTCGCCAATAGCCGACTTCATCAGACGAGACAGCGACGGCAGCACGTTGATAGGCGGGTAGACACCCTTGTTGTACAGTTGACGGTCAATGAAGATCTGTCCCTCCGTAATGTAACCGGTCAAATCGGGGATGGGGTGAGTGATATCTGCAATCCATCAGCATGATCCACCTGCATATGCACCACCAGACAAGCAACTGACCGTCGTTAGGCATCGTCAAGATAGGGATTTGTGTGATGGATCCGTTACGGCCCTCCACACGACCAGCACGCTCGTACAGGGTCGACAAGTCCGTGTACATGTAACCGGGGTAACCACGACGACCCGGAACTTCTTCACGAGCAGCCGAGACCTCACGCAGAGCGTCACAGTAGGCAGACAGATCAGTCATGATGACCAGGACGTGCTTCTCCAGCTGGTAGGCGTAGTACTCGGCCGTGGTCAGCGCCAGACGAGGGGTGATGATACGTTCAATCCTGGACGCTGCTTGTCAGTACCGCACGCACACACAACAAAACCGATCACATACGTAGGGTCGTTGGCCAAGTTCAGGAAGAGTGTCACGCGCTCCATACTGCCGTTCTCCTCGAAATCGCGGGTGAAGAAGCGGGCCGTCTCCATGTTCACACCCATGGCGGCGAAGACAATGGAGAAGTTCTCCTCGTGTCCGTCGTGGACGTCCTTGGTGGGGCGCTTCACCAGACCCGCCTGACGACAGATCTGGGCGGCGATTTCGTTGTGTGGCAGACCGGCGGCGGAGAAGATGGGGATCTTCTGGCCACGGGCAATGGAGTTCATCGTGTCAATAGCGGAGATACCAGTGGAGATCATTTCTTCGGGGTAGACCTGCAGATCATCGGACACGTTAGCCACCCGGAGTGTGCATGTCGCGGGACAAAGGCGAGGCTCATACTCGGGAGTAAGGGTTGATAGGTTGGCCGTTGATGTCCAGGTAGTCCTCCGCCAGCACCTTGGGGCCCTTGTCAATCGCGCGACCGGAGCCATCGAACACACGACCCAGCATGTCTTCGGAGACACCGAGCTTCAAGCTGTGACCGGTGAACTCGACTTTCGTCTGAGGCAAGTCAGTATGGCGGTAGACTCAGACGGTAGCTGAATGACGGCGAAGTACCTTCTTAACGTCGATACCAGAAGTGCCTTCAAACACCTAGTATGACCGCAATTCCATGTCAATATTCCGTCCGATACATCCACCTCCCATTCTCTACACTCCAAAGGTCCGCACCTGAACGACTGCTCGACTTCCTGTAGTGAAGGCATTATACATCAGCGGATCTGATCTTGATCTCATTCAACCACGCCTCTCATACCTCGAGCTTCCAGAACCTGACCTGACCGCTCAGTCCCATCGGGGAGGGTCAAAGACACGATCTCATTGTAACGGGGGAATTTGACCTAAGCCATCACTGATCAGCTGTAATTTTCCCGATATGCTTGGGTCGGCCAGATGACGTGCCGATGGAGACGGGCTCGTACATTATCCAGAACGACCAGCGGTCCGTTGATACCTCCAATGGTGTTGTAGCGGATGCGAGGCTTGACGCTGGTCATCCGGGGGTCGACGAAATCGGCCATGGTCGAAGAGTCCACCACAAGGTGCTATGAAATCAGAGACGATAGACAAAGGAACGAGGGAGGGGGGGAAAGTGGGAGAATGCGGACGAGGGGGCGGAACTGAGGGGAGAGGAACAGCTCCTGGTGGTGGTCGGGAGTGTCGACGTATGCTTAGGCTGGAGCCCGTCAGTTTGGCTGGTTTGCCCCGTTTGGCTCCACGTCCGCTGGGGGGCGGTGTGGAACCTCCTTTCCACGTGATGCCCTCGCCTACGATCTATAAGTTCCTTACTACGTATTACATATTCAAAAGGCTAACAAAGTCGGGCTGATGCCAAATTACGATCAAGAATACGATAATCAGTCATGTTCTGCAGAAATATAGCGAGAAAATAGTGACTCATACATTCCGTAAAGCCATCTGCGGCCGCCGTAAAGTGTCGCCATCCGTGCTAGGCTTCTCAATTAGAGAAAAAGAAAAAAGAAAAAAAGGAAAAAGAAAAGAATGAACGCCAAGCGAAATGAAATCATCAGATCAGCTCGTCATGAATGTCATACTGATACAGCTGGAGAAAGGAAAAGCATCCACGAGAAAAGCAGGCTAGAATCGTGAGATAGAGACGCCAAACCGCCGTCAAACCGTCATGGTATCGTGTGCAAAAACAAATAACGGAGAAAGCAGATGGAGAAAAGGTCAGATTCCAGTCATTCAGTCCACTTTGGCCAACGCCAGCTTCTTGGGCGTCGTTAGATTGTTGGACAGACGGACGTTCATCTTTTTGTTTTTGGTTTGTTTCTTCAGCTTCTTGCGGGCCACCATCACCGGTACGGATGAGTGCATGACCAGGTAATTCGAAAACGATCCGAGGACCACTCTGTGGTGAACAGTCTTGTTAGTTTGCAGTCCATGCAGGTCGAACGCAGAGTTCTTACCCTTTTAGTGCACTTCGTCCTCTGGCACCAACAATTACTAGCGTAGGATCCAATCCATCAATCTGGAAACTCAGTCAGCCACTGCGTAAACGGAGCAGGATCAAGCTGGACTTACGGCTTCGGTGATCATGTGCTTCGGGCTCTTGCAATGAATTACCTCAACCGCCACGCGCACCTGCAGTAGCGTCTTTCGCAAGAGACGCACGCACGTCTGCGAAATGACCTCCACCGCCCGTACGCGCTCGGATTCCGCCTTGGACATGCCTCGTGCATCGACCGAGCCGGGTTTGCTGTCCGTGCCGGTCCCCAGGCGGTTGAAGAAGGTCCGAGGTAAGTGCGAGCTGGAGTCATTCTGGGATTTCGCCGCCGTCTCGGCCGTCTGCGAGCCGACCACCGCGGCAGCATCCTGCATGGCTTTGGCTCCATCCCCAATCTGCACGGCTGCCGGAGTAGCGGTCTCGTCATGCATGGCACAGACCGCGAACATCGTATCGCCATCCCGCAGAATGGTACCAATCGTCCATTCCAAAGCATACACCGATTCCTCACTGAGATCCGTCGTCACTAGGTACTTGCGCTGGCGGCGACGAGCGCCTTCCTCTTCGCGTATGCTGGGATAGTCGCCGCGGATGATCGTCCGGATTGATCGGTTGTGCACCGAACTATCGATCGCAGACATTTCAATGCTGAGTTTCTGAGCGCGTTTAATGTCGCACAACTCTGCCTCGTCCTCGGAGCCAAAGGGGGTGTTGGTCGCTGAGGCGGAGTCGTAGCTCGTTCGGGGGCGGACATCAGGCTTCGAGATGGGGCCTGTCTTGGCTGAATGAATGAACTCAGACTTGCCGGTAGAGTTGTTACTGGGGTCTGCAGCTCGCAATCAGTCAGTATTGTGCACTGAAACAACGAGAAGAGAACGTACGAAATTCTGGAGCCGTCTTTGTTGTCGTGCGCGGAGCGATCCGGGCAGGTTCATGGTCGACTGTCTCTTTCCGCCCTCGTTTGTTCTCTTCCGACTCGCGGTCCGGGCTCTCATCGTCGCTAGAAGACAATTCGTCACCGTCCTCATCACTAGTCTCGATCGGATTGTTTTCGCTGTCGTAATGGTCCTTTTCGAGCCGCTGCTCTCCGGGCGCTGAGGAATTAGCATCCGCCTCCCGAGGGGATTGAAGAGCTGGTGGAGGCTGGACCGTTGGCTGGGATGTTGCTGGAGGGGTCGGAGGGGGAGAGACCTTCGGGGCGCTGTCAATCGTCACGCTCTCTTTTGGCTTCTCGTTGGGGATCGCTTTCAGCGGTTCTTTAGTGCTTTCTGTAGGCTTCTTCTCTGCCTGTTTCTCCTTAGGTGACTCTTTACTCTCTTTCAACTTTTCCATCGGGTTCTCAGTCGGGCTCTCCTTCGGGCTTTCAAGTATAGGCTTTGCCGCCTCGACCGACTGATTACGTGAACCGGGGCTCAGCCAGCGACGCTTTGGCGAACTGGAGCGGGTCGAGCGGAGCGCCGGAGCTCGCGAGTCAAGCGAGTTGCCTCGTGATGAGGAACTGCGGCCAGAGTCCCGACCTCTGACAAAGCTCGGGAACCCAACCTTGATGTCGAGGCCTGACATCACGGCGGCCATGCTTGGCAGACGATTCGAGGAGGAAGCAGCAGGAGGCTTCTCCTGAGATTGACTGGCACGGCGGGCGCTAGGAGGCATATCGAGAGAGGAATCCCAGCGAATGCTAGGGCCTGATTTGTGCGTGGTTGTGGTTGCGGCTTGGGGGCCTCCGGACTTGTCGCCGCCGTCGGACTGAACGGAGGATTTCCTCGGTGCCGGTGGTAACGGAGGAGCCACCAAAGAAGTGGTCCTGGGCGGCGGAGGGGAGGTTGCGGTCGTCGTGGTGGTCGTAGGTGATGTCGAGGGCGAAATGGACGAAGTGGACGAAGAGGGAGGATGGGGAGGAGGTTTAGTGGAAGTGGTGGGAGATGGTGCAGTAGAAGTGGTGGGGGTCGAGGAGCGGCGGGGAGCAGAGGTAGTAGTAGTATTGGCAGCGGGATAAGAATTGTAGTGATGGTGATAATTGCGGCCCGAGGGGGAAGTCACGCCCACTCCAATCCCGGCGATGGAGCCATGCCGGGGAGGGACAAAGCCTGGACTGGGCGCGATGTCCAGCATGCTCCGGCGCGGGTACCAGGAGGAATTAGTGTGGTTGCCTTCGCCCGACTCCCGCAGTAACTCTCGTCGTTCTTCCTCCAGTGCCGTCTCTAACGAGATGGGCGCAGGTTTTCTACTGTAGTACGGCATGGTGACGTCGGGTGAGCACGAGTGCACCGAGTTCACCCGGTCCTTTCCTTGCGATCTTTCTATTCAGTTCTTATTAAGGTGTCTGTCTGTCTGTCTGTCTGTCCGTCTGTCTGTCTGTGGGACTATGATCTGACAGCAATAATCAGTTAACTGATGGAGAGGGGATGGATTGAGAGACACACGACTAATCCGTAACGGGCTTCGGAATGTGGAGTGGAGCGACGATCATCGGCCGAATGAGCGGCGCCAAATCCAGGTAAGGGGCGGCAAGTCACTTCCCAAATCCCCAGATTTCGCTTTCAGCTTTCCCCGTGATCGGTGACAAGAGCTTGTGCCAGCTGTGGCAACAGCACAGCAACAGTAACAGCAACAGCAGGCAGCAAAGCAGCAGCTCTGTCCTCTTTCACTCTGCGGAACCGTGGTGCGGAGGTACAACAACCACACCACCACCACCACCGACGAGGGAAACGGCACGAATTATAGATTTAAGCGGGCGGGCCTGGGAGATCCCCACGTGCAACAAACGGCTGCAACTGCCGGCGATCGAATCGGTCGCGACCAGCCGCGGCCCAGGTTCTGGCTGAAGGGCCCTTCTTTGTTACAGGTCGCGGTGGACGTATCACAAACAAAAGCAACCCAAGGGAGTCGGCGTCGGGCGTGTTCACGAGAGCTCTCCCCACGGTAAGGCGAAGTAAGTAGGAAGTAGAAGTGGAAGTGGAGGAGGGGAACGGGAACGGGAACAATAAAGAAGACGAAGAGGAGGAGAAGATGAATCAATGGTAATAGTCGAGCACAGTCCACTCTGCCAAGGCAATCACAGGGAAAAAGGAATCGAGGAATGACTTGACAAGTTGACAATTAGTCCCAGATCGACTGGGGATTCGAGGGAGCTTAAGAGGACAAGACGTGAGCAAAAAAGCTCGGCCAACGAAAACTGCAGCTGAGCTCGTCAGAAAAAGCTCGGCATGGCGGGGTATCACCAACAAAGTCAGAAGAATTATGGAGATTTGGCGAGAGGGGGTTGAGGAGAGGAGAGAGTGGAGAGGAGAGGAGAGGAGAGGAGAGGAGAAAATAGGCTGATCACTTTAACTCATAACTCATAACTCATAACTCAGTAACTCGATTCACACAGCAGATAGACCTATCCCTTGCATGACTGCGCTGCTTGACTGACTGACTGACTGACTGACTGACTGTGCCGTGCATCGTGCATCCTACTTCATATTTACCTAATACTTAACTCATACTACTACAGACTGTAAGCTATTCATCCTCCTCCTCCTCCTCCTCCTCCTCCTCCTCTTCATCAGGAAAGAGTTGCAAGTGTCACCGCAGCCCTCTTGCGAAACTCGAACCTGGAATGTGCATTGCATGCAGGCGACCGAACTGCTTATTTGTGCTTGACTTGATCAGAGCTCGAACCAAGGATCCCACCCAACCCATCAATCAGTCAGTCGTTCATCACATTCCATTCCCCCGCCCACCCAGCTGAGTTGGTCGAACGATCGTCGTCGCAGCGTCAGTGTCATCTCATGAGTCAATCTTTTTCCATTTTCGACCCCATTACAGCCTTTGTCCCTGATGTTACATTCGGTGTCATTCCAAATGGCAAAAAAGCATTAATACATGCATGATGGCGAAAGGGAAAAAAGGCAAAAAAGAAAACAAAAAAAGAAAAAAAAAAAGAACGCAACATAACAAACACAACACAACCGGCAAATAGCTGCCAGCCCCCGAAATGGATGTTGCATGCTCGTCGCTCGACATATCAATAAAAAGAATCGACAGACCCAACGCCCATTTTTCGCCAGTGTATCAGACGCGATATATGCAACTTCCAACTCCCCAAACCGTTTTGAACATGCTGCAGCAGAGTAAAAAAAAAAAAATAGAGTCCCGACCGCTTCCCCTCTCCTTCCCTCTAGGCATCTGTTTTTCTCTTCTTCTTGGCCGTCTTTCGCGCTGCAGTAGCTGCAAAGGCCTCCTCTGGGGGTTCGTCCATCTTGGCCGCCCGCTTTCGACCGGGTTGACCGTACTGCTGCTCCAATCGATCGAAGAAGGCCTCCGCCCGCGTGGCCTGCCGTTGCTGAATCATCTTCAACAGCTCGTTGTCCCCATCGTTCTTCTTTTTGGTGGTGGACTTCTTGCCGCCCCTGCCGGGTTTGATCGATTGCTTCTCCTCGACCTCCGCCGCCAACGCCTCCGCCTCCTTGGCCTCCTTCTGGGCGCGTTTCAACCGCCGCTCGCGCTTCTTCGCCGGCTCCTCCACGTAGCTCTTGTGTTTCTTCGCGCGACCCTCCGCGAGGGCCCGGTCGATGATGGCCCGGAAGCGCTCATCGTCGTCCAGGACATTGCAGAGCAGCACCGACTCGTAGACCTTATCCAGATCCCCGCGGTAAGTCTCATACGCCGCCAGCACGTCGCGCTCCTCCTCCGCCGAGCCCTGATACTCCTGCTTCAGCTTGTCGATGGCGCTGGTGTCGATGGCACTGGAGAACTGCTCGCGGTAGAAATCCGCCCAGTTGAAATCCTCGTCGACGTCGACCGCCTCGCTGGTGCTGCCGGTCAGGTCGTATCGCTCGCGGCGCTTCGCGTCGGAGAGGATGGCGTAGGCGAACGCAATCTGCTGGAACTTCTTGTTTGCTGCATCGCGCTCGTCGGCTGGGACCTTGTCTGCGGCAGTGGAAAGAGGTTCGGTTAGGATCGGGCATAATTCTAGCTACAACTCTCTGTTTAGTTGACTGGACTTTTCCAGACATACCAGGATGGTGCTTGAGTGCCTGTTTCCGATAGGCCGACTTGATCTGGTCTGCGGTAGCATCGCTCGAGACACCCAAAATCTCGTATAGGTCGGTCTCTGGGCTGGGGGGCTCGGGAGACTCGCTGTCGCGACGAGGTTCAGGAGACTCGCTGTCGCGTAGTGATTCAGGCGACTCGCTTCGCGCCTGAGATTTGCTCTTGCGAGGCATTCTGACAATTTCCAGCCGAGACTAAACCCACTGCAGGTTCGAAAGAAGCAAGAACAACGATAAAGCCAATGTGAGTTGCCAAAAGAAAAAGCGAAGTGAGCGAGCGGCTCAGTCAGACGCGCCACGCGGACGCGAATCTCGGTCGGAAACCATTAATTATCAACATCGGGAAGGCGGTGAGTCCCGGCTGTAGGAGCAGAAGTAGGCCTGACCGCCTTTATCGATAAGAAGTTAAGAAACCCTCAACTCAATTAGGTTTAGAGCTTCTTCCCCCCGCGCCCGCGCGCCGATGCGGTCATCCACAGCTAAGGTAGCTTGAGCTTCAATCCATCCATCCATCCAACACCCCGCCCAGCAAACGAAACCATAGCCACCACCGAACACCCAAGCCCCACCGCCACCAGCAAACCAAGCCAAAGCCAAACTCAACCCTCACCACATCACCCCACAAAGAAAAAAAAAGAAAATGCCCTCCCCCCACCTCAAATACATGCGCACCTGCCTGGCGCTCGCCGAGAAATCGCCCGCGCGACCCACCAACTTCCGGGTGGGCGCCCTACTCCTCTCGCGGCACGAAGACGACGCCACGTTGGAGCAGGAAGACCGGCTGCTCGCCACGGGCTACACGATGGAGCGGGACGGCAACACGCACGCCGAGCAGTGCTGTCTGGCCAACTACGCCGCCACGAAAAGTGTGCCCGCCGATCAAGTGGCGGCCGTGCTGCCGGACGAGCCGGGCCGGAAGCTGGTTATGTATGTCACGATGGAGCCGTGCGGGCGCCGGCTTTCGGGGAATATGCCGTGCGTGGAGCGGATTATTCGGACTCGGATTCAGGCGGAAGGGGCAGGGGAAGGGGAAGGGCAGCAAGGCCGGCGGAGGGGGATCCAGAAGGTGTATTTTGGGGTGAAGGAGCCGGGGACGTTTGTGGGGCAGTCGGAGGGGTGTAGGCAGCTGACGGCGGCGGGGATTGAGTGGGAGGTGGTGCAGGGGCTGGAGAGGGAGATTTTGACGGTGGCGACGGCGGGGCATGAGAATCGTGAGGAGGAGGTGCAGGCGGCGATGGAGTCGGTCGAGACGAATATTGATGATATTAGTGCCGAGGAGCGGAGGAGGCAGGCGCAGGTGCCGAGGAATCCGAAGAAGAGGGTTATGGAGGTGGATTTGTTGGCGTGATTGATTTGCTGGCGGTTTGGGGGGTGCTGTATATGGACTGAGATAATGTGTATATATGCGTGGATTGCTACGATGGTTGTCTCTGACATCTATCTCTACAATACTTCTTAAGCCGCTCAATGTTTACTATAGACGAGCTTATCTGGGAAGTTGAAAAAAAGGGGGGTCCGGGGGTTCTCCCCCGGGATAGTATATTACCCCAGTACTCAGAATTGAGGTTACTGAGAAATTGCAAAGAAGGGGGGTATTGTCCCTGTGCACTGGGTAAGGTTGGCAAGCTCTTCTAATGAGGGCTTGAGTGTTTGACAAATGAATTATATCAACGACTTATGCGACCCAGTAAAGAGCCAAGGCTAGGGCTATCTTTAACGCGGTGATATCTATGCTACCTCCAGTGTAAGTGACGAGACTAGTTCTGTCTGTCTGTCTCGGGAGTGTTGAGGCTGTAATGCATATAGGAATGACCAGGGTATATGATTGCTTCTGCTCCACAGGTTTAGCACCGAACCAGAACAACCTGTCAGTATTCTTGCTTGATACGAGTAGGTATTATTGACTAGACGTACAGCAAGTGACAACGGCGATTGCCTTTCAATGAACGAGACAGTCGACAGAGTCCAAGTGTTACACAGCGAGCGAAGGGATGAGTGCTCATGAGAGTGTGTCTGGCTCTCCCCACAGACTATTGCATCCGACCCTGCACTAAGAGTGACACGATGTGTGTGCAGCCCTATAAGAACTGCTATAGATCCCTGACCAGACATCAAGCGCGTTCACCCTTGCTAGCACAGTTGATAGTGGCCGTAGCACCTCGGCTTAAGGTAATGCAATAACACATGGAGGACGGTCCCTCGTCCTCTTCGACGGTTAAGCCTCCTGTTGCTGGATCAGAGACTTTCCCAGCACCCACTGGCACTGTCCACAGATCGACCATGCATGATCCCATGTACAGGTTTACAGCCGGGCCATGATCTGCACCAGCCAGTCTCCAGCCTGGCACGTCTCGATGCCCGCAAGCACGATTTCCGCTTCCCTGCCCAACCGAACGGCCTCTGCTCGGGTCTCTTCACTTGCAACCGTGGTGAGGATCATCAACTCCCAGACCTTGTAATCGAACCTCCCCTCCCCGAGAAGACCGAGGTTGGTCGCGATGCATCCGTTGAAACAATCGTGAGTCGCCTCCGTCAAGCATATTTCTTGGAACCGGGCAAGCAGAGCTAGCAGCTCCGTTGATGCGATGTTGTCGATGGGAGATCCCTTCTTTGCTCGCCAAGAGACATGTCCTCTTCTGTGATGATGAGCTGAGGCGGGATTATGCTTTGGATCTTAGCTTTCGTCATTGCACTGTTACCGTGTTGGATTGCAGGGATCGCTCTCACTCACCAGTGTAGCCGCAGCGAGCGGGATCGATGCGAGGAGATATACAAGACCCTTCATCTTAGCCTGTGAGGTTTCAAGCTCGGTGGAACTTAATACAATGCAGGAATCAAGATATGCTGCTGCAAATCATTCGCGGTTGGGGTTGAATCAAATGGCCCCCTTATAAAAAAACCCTCAGGAGGCGCCGGTTGATGTTCGAACGTTCATGCTTGTTTTACATGCGCATGGTTCACTCTGCCAGACTATTGCTGCAATGCGGATACCGATATAGAATATTGGTTTCTCGCTGGATTTTATGCAAGGACAACGTATAGTTCAGAATAGATGGAGTAAGGATCGTCAGGGCGCTGTCTCTTGACATCGGGCGGCTGTCCATGAAGGATGATCATCAATGCCATTGTTGATCTGGGTGGAAGTTTGAGCTACGCGTGATTCGCTGGGGATGAGCAAGCTGGGAGTGTATATAAGTCAAGAAAAGCTAAATAAGTTGTGGGACCATTGGTAAGTAGCAGAAGGGCCAGCAGATCTGTAGATGAATCGGTCAAGAGCAAGCAAGCCATGGTCTCAATGACATTGTTAGTATGGCGGATGATCTATTGACTAAGATTCATAAAGCAAGTCTAGCCCATGTCTGGTCTAAGTTGAGAGAAGAGAGGTATACTAGCATGCAGCTCGGACAGCAATCGCAATGCGATGTGTGAACCCTAAGCCGGTTACGGTGCATACCAGCTCCAACAACAAGAACAGGTCAATGACTCCCACACCAGCTATCTAATCTTCTCTCAATTTCCAGAATCGAAGCCCTGACTGCAAACAGAGGCGACGTGGCAGCAGCATCATCATCATCTCCATCATCACACGTGGAAAGGCAGAGCGCGACAGAGAGGAACCATCCCCAGATCGCGAAGCGACATGACGTCGTTATCGCCCATGCATTCCCCGATCGATCCAGCCAACATCCACTTCTGATTCCTTTAAATAGCTCGACTACCTGGCCCAAGTAACCTACCCAAATCCCTCTACATCTCACAGACAACCTCCCACACCACCACCCCCCGACGCGACAAAATGCCGTGGTCCACCGTCCTGCCGCAGGCAGTCTTCACCTCGCCGATCCTCTCCGTGGCCGCCCCCATCGCTGCCGGGACCTTCATCGGCTTCCAGACCAACAGTAAGCCCTCACCAAGCCACCTTCACATAAACCAGACGACCAAACCAAGCAACCAAGCCCTACCTCAGATCAATCAGATCAATCAGATCAAGACCTAACACACAACCAGAACAATCCCGCACCAAATCCATCTACCGCAACCTCCACAAACCCCCCCTCTACCCGCCCGCCTGGCTCTTCGGCCCCGTCTGGACCATCCTCTACGGCCTGATGGGCTTCGCCGCCCACCACGCCACCGTCACCGGCACCACCGTCTCGCCGCTTGCCTCCTCGTCCCTCCAGCAATGGACCGTCCACTCACAACACCTTTACGCCTCGCAGCTGCTGCTCAACTACCTGTGGATGCCGCTGTTCTTCGGCCTGCGCAAGCCCGCCTGGGCGCTGACCGACATGCTGCTGCTGGGCGGCAATGTCGCCGCCCTGATGCACGTGTGGTACCAGCACGACCGCCCCGCCTTCTGGATGCTCGTGCCCTATGCCGCGTGGCTGGGGTTCGCGACCTACTTGAATGCCGGGGTGGGGGTGTTGAATCGCTGGACGATCGGCGAGGGGGAGGCAGAAAAGAAGGAGTAATTGGCTACCTACCTACCAACTACTGGATATATAGTAATTCAATCACACTTACAATAAGCGTTTCCCGGGGGAGAACCCCCGGACCCCCCTTTTCTTCAACTTCCCAGTAAAGCGCATCTGCGTAAGCACTACGCAGCTCAGGCTGAAGAGATAATAACTTAGAGGATACCGGGGGAGACCCCTGGACCCCCCTTTGAAATCGAATGAAGTATCGACCCTAAAAGATAAAGTACAATAAAAGTAAACGGGGGGAACACAAACCATGAGCGGAGAATCCGTTATCAACACGTGACCAAGAATCCCTCCCAAACATCCCAGCCTACCAGGTAGGTAGGTAGGGTATCCATCCCATCCTCCTCATTTACATCCCACCGAAATTAAAAACAGGACCCCCCCTCCAGTAAACCCAAAAAATGGCCCCATGGCGCCCCCCGAACCCGTCCCCCTCACATTCTACCCAGCCTACTGCTTCAAAGCCTCCCCGACCCACTTCACCTGGGTAAAGATGGCCGTCGCGGACGTGCTGCAGTTGACCCGCCGGGCCGAGTATCCAGGTACGGTCACCACACCACCTGTGCTTTTGCAGCACAAGTTCACCCCCCC